CAAGTTGCCAAAGTATGTGAGTGGTATGCTGCCACTAAAAAATGCATTTCTATATGTTTTTATGCATAACATCTTTCAAAGTTTACACAGGAAACTATATTCAGCCCTAACCGGTTTGGCTGGGTGGACAGAGTGTCGGCCTGCGGACTGAAAGGTCCCAGGTTCAATTCCGGTCAAGGGCATGTACTTTGGTTGCGGGTACATCCCTAGTAGGAGGTGTGCAGGAGGCAGCTGATGGATGTTTCTCTCTCATCGATGTTTCTAACTCTCTATCCCTCTCCCTTCTTCTCTGTTAAAAATCAATAAAATATATTTAAAAAAAAGAAACTATATTTAGTAACTGCTTTCTGAGAGGGGAACTAGGTGGCTTATACTTCACTGTACATATCCTTTGTTCCTGTTAAGTTTTGGACCTTGAACACTAGCTTAAAATTGTAAAAAGACATCCTATTGTAGTGAATAAAATAAACAAGAACACAATACTTAACATTTCTTTTCCATCCCCCCAGGTTAAGAAGTCTAAAGCACGAGCAAAAAGTTTCAAAGTGGATTTATCGTGACTGCATCCTCTATGGTTACTAAACTCTGATGTCAAGGCCATGTCCAAGTCTAAGAATTCTACATGCCTTGCACGGTATAACTGTAATGATTAGAATTGCTTTAGGCTTATCTTTCCAATAATTCACATATCATGTACTCAAGTATTTGTATATTTTGAAGTCTATTCAAAATTTGCTACAACTTCTACCTCAGACAGTGACTCTATTGAGAGTTCAAATAAAGTAACATGAAAGGAATCAAACTTACTCAGGACTCGTAAAGATCGGTCACTCATGTTACAAACAGCCTGTGCAAAGGGAACCACCAGACTTTCCAAGTTCCTAGGATCATGCATCACAGGACATTGTGGGAGCAGAAGGAAAACTGACAACGCTTCTTGGTGTGGAGAACGGCATGGAAGAGCTCCGAGCAGATGATCCCTGAGACATGTAGTTATCTGCAGTTGAAACGGGATCAGAGAAAGAAAGGCCCTGGGTAAGTTTTGGGACCAGGGGTTTCATTCCTCCACTTTCCAACTAGAATCATCATTTAGTTTTCCTGAAACCTGTTGTTCATCACTCCTTGCATCCCAAATGCCCCTGAAGTAGTATGTGCGAGCCATCCTTCCGATTTTATATTGGGGTGCATAAGGAAATAAAAGTGGATCACATGTGCACGTAGGTGCTGAGTGACTTATGGAGGTGGTTCAATTAGAAAGTGACAGAGCAGGGATCCATACCCAGACCGGTCTGGGCTAAAATCTGCCTCGGCAGAGAAAATGCCATGTGTTCCCCTCTCCAGTCCTGTTGCAGCTTCCTCCTGGGTTCACCGGAAGATGGTATTTTCTAGCTGCCTCCGCAGTTAGTGGGGCCATGTGACCGAGTTCTAGCTAATGCCACGTGAGTGAAGGTGATGTACGACACTTCGAGGCACGGCCCCCAGAGACCTCTCACATGACCTTACATACTCTCTTTCCTAATCTGCCAACCAAACACAGAGGATCTACTGGAGGGTTTCATGGCCCCAGAACCCACAAAGAAGGAGCCTGCGCCACTCCTGAATTCAACTGTGCAGAGGCTGGAAGGGTAGCAGACTATGCCACCCCAAATATGCCACTCCTGCATGAGGATCATTTTAAATATATATTTAATTTATTTCAGGGAGGAAGGGAGAAGGAGCGAGAGAGGGAACATCAATGATGAGAGAGAATCATTGATTGGCTGCCTCCTGCACACCCCCCACTGGAGATCGAGCCCGCAACCCGGGCATGTGCCCTGGCCGGGAATTGAAC